TTGATTTAGAGGTTTGGGTTGAAACTGGCTGCGCAGTGTTTTAGCTGGGTAACCTTGGAAAAACTATTTAACCCAAATTCCCATTTCTTACATATACAGGGTGGGGCAAAAGTAGGATTACGGTCATGAGTACCTGACACAGAGTTTATTTTTGTATTCTTATTTATTAATTACATTACTTGCTGAATAAACATCTTTAAGCTGACTTGTGCCCCACCCTATATAACAATGTTGTAATGATCAAATAAAGTAATCCATTTAGCACAGAAGTCCACACTTACTGTTATGGTTAGCTATTACTGCTGCTTCTGCCCTGGTCACTGCTATCTAATGCTGCTAGGTAAATAACTCCCGTTAGTGTTTGGGAGCTTCAGGAGGTGTCTGTCTTTGAGAGTTAAAGAGTTAAATTAGTATAGTTTTCTCTGCTACAACACATGCTTTAGAAACACGAATTAGCTCACATGCAATTGGTAAGTAGGAAAATGTCAGTGCAATGTGGAAGTTGGGTCAGTTCATCTGAGGTTTTCTCCAGCAATCAGTGAAGCACATATTCTCACCGATAGAGAGCTTAAGAAAAAGAAGATGGAAATTCTATAGAAGTGCCTTCCACTGGTGCAAGCAGTGGCTGATTAAGTGGCCTCAGAATCTGTGGTACTTTCTACTATGTTAAAACTATGTGGGTGTCGAATCACTATGCTGTACATTTGAAACCAATATAAAATAATACTGAAAGTAAACTGTAATTGAAAAATTAAAAAATAAAAACTATATAGTGAAGCTTGGAGTTACAGAAGAAGGGGCTGTGAAGATAATTCCCCCGAGTTCAAAAACACCTGCACCCTGAACTCTATTTTTAACTTTGTTGGAACTGTGCACAGTGACCTATATCCAAGTAGAGGAAGTGTGAGTCCAGGGTTTAAGGAGATAAAGGATTGGCTGACCTTTGTGCTTGGTGCAAATATCAGTGGAGATTTAGCTGTGTTAGTATTTTTATTATGATTATTACTGTGTGGTTGCGATTTTTTTTAGTGCTCTGGTTACCAAGTTCTATAGGTTTTCAAAGTTTTGTCCTATTTTTCATAAGCCCTATTGTTTTAAGTGTGTAATTTTGCAGAATGTGCTTTTCAACAATGTGGTGGATGTTAATGAAATTAAAAACACCAGCCTATAAGAATTTAGTGTAAGTAGGTATTGATCTCAACCACGTAGAAGAGTAAGCTGCGGGGCAGTTTCATTCTACACGGCACATTATACAGTGTCCGTAGACATTTGTGGTTGTTGCTGTTGGTGATGTAGGGGTGGAGTTGCTACTGTCGTCCTGTGAGTAGAGGCAAGGGGTGTCGCCAAACATCTTGTGGCCCACAGGACACCCCCCAGCACACTGTTACTTGGCCCCACGTGTCAGTAGTGCTTTAGTTGAGAAACCCTGCTGTGAAGGGCTCCTGGGACATAGTAAGCACTAAATAAAGGTTAGTTAACATTTACATAATTATAATAAAACATATTTTCAAGCAAGTTGTTATGATTTGGTCTATAGCTGTGCTTTGATCCTGTTCAGTTTTGTGCCATACAACGTTGTGTGATTGTTGTTGCTATATATTATATAACCTCATCCCATTTAGTTAAACCTTTTTCTCTTATTATTCTTTTCCTCATCATCATCATAATAATAATATTTGATTTGTAAAGATTAATATTTGGGCCCTGGCTGGTGTAGCTCAGTGGATTGAGTGTAGGCCTGGGAATCAAAGGGTTGGTGGTTCAATTCCCAGTCAGGGCACATGCCTGGGTTGCGGCCAGGTCCCCCACCCCCCAGTAGGGGGCGCACAAGAGGCAACCACACACTGATGTTTCTCTCCCTCCCTTTATCTCTCCCTTCCCCTCTCTCTAGAGATAAATAAATTAAATCTTCAAAAAAACCACACAAAGATTAACATTTGGACCATTTTACTGTCTTCCAAGACTTTAAAGTTGTTAAATTTAACTTATTGAGTTACTTGTACAAAAATTAGATCCCTCAGATTTTAAATTTTCTTTACTCTTCATTTATATTTAAGTCATCATGTAATTTCTTTTTTATAAGTGTGACTGCAATTTTATTTCTGAGTGTTTTATATTTTTTGCTATAATGAATGTGATTTTTTTAAACAATATATTTTCTTTGTTGGGAATGCTCTTGAGGTTTTTATATTCATTTTTTATAATTTAGTACATTGGCCAGAAGTTTAGAACAATATTAAACAAAAATGGTGATAAATGGTATCTGTGTGTATTTCTGAATTAACTGTAACACAGAAAGTGTAGTATTCCAGTGATTGGTGCAAAGAAAATTGTATTTAGAACAAAGTGTTTCCAGCTGTCCATGACAGAGGCCGTGGATAGTTTCATACAGCCTTAGTTCTTCAGAGTCTTTGAACACTGTGTGCTCTTAGAGGATATACTAAAGAAGTCCTTGGTTCACATTTTCTAGAAATCTTAAAATATAGCTTGAAGGTTAAGGTTAACACATTTAAAATGATGGCTGAATCTACATGTCTCCAAAATGATGAAGGCCATATGAAGCAAAAATGGGGTGCTAATAATACGATTCATACAGTTAGTTGGTAAATTCATTTGGTAGGAATTCAGAAACTGGGGAGATCTTTATGAACTGGGTTATTTAAAGATGTGGGACTTGAGCAAATTATCGTAAGTGGAGGAGGAAGGTGAGATTATTGCATTGACTGGCATGAACATGACCGGAACATGGAATTAATCTTGGTCCAGTCTCTGGCTCATACCACAGTTACAAAGACCATTCCAGAGATTACTGCTGGCTTAGCAGAGAGTTTAATTATACAAATTCTAAATAAGTTCATTCAAGAGCTTCTTAAAGGCTTTTTTTTTTGTTATAAAATGATCAAACTCTGATATAAATGTAATTATATATGGTGAGTCCAAAAGGGAAATTTTTTATTTAGTTTAGAGTGACTGTTTGATACAGAACACTTATATATTTATTCTCTTTGTTGTTGCTGTTTTTGTTCTCATCCCATGGTATTGTCTGTATCTTAGATGTTAGTACAAGTGCATCCGGGAGTGGTATTTTATTGTTTGCAGCGAATGTATTTTAGAATACTTATGTGGAATTCTCTTCCTGCTGTGTGCTGGAGAATGGATGGGTGGAATTGTAATACATCGATTTCACTAGAATTTGAAAAGTAAACACCAGTTTACCCTTAGTTCTGGAGTACATAACAGAGAGGAGGGGCTTAACACTGCGTGGCATTGTCATTTCATCTTGTATTGCTTAAAAATTAAGATCTCAAATTTTTATTTTTATCATCATTTTTACCATTATCATTTCTCTTACTTAAAATACATTATTTGAAGATACAAGGAAGTGTAAATGTGACATTCTCCTTTCTCGAGTTTCACAAGTTTACAAATTTTTTGCTTTTTAACTATGAACCTAATGTTGAAGGTCTTGGCTCAGCATGCTGGGAATTGTAAACAATAAAAAACAAAACCCTTTCCAACACTTAGATCTGTTTGGCCTAGTACTCCTTCTGCTCTGCCTGTTCCTTCCTTTATGTTGGGGGTGGCAATTGGTCTCAGGTTATCTGCCTTTGAACAAGGGGCAGGATGGGCAAGTCCCCCACCTGACAGCAGTGGCTGACTTAGGAGACTACAGATAGACTGGCTGTTCTGCCCTCCCCCTTTCTCTGTTTGAACCACTGACACCTGCTTGCTCCTATACCAGGACCGAACACATTAGAAGCCCATCGCCTGGATTTGTCAGGGGATGTTTAGCTCCATAGTATGTCTGTCAGTGCAAGGCACTGCCTGATACTATAGGTAGAGGGATTCTAAAGCAAAACAAAGCCAGAACCAGTCCCCAGTCTGATAGGAAATCCATAGCTGTGAGTTAGAATTTCAGTGGACTCCCAAGGCTGTTTTCCATTGCTGTCATTTGTCCTCACGTTGAGTTCTGCCTGATGGTTGTATCTCCTTGTGAGATATTCCTAAAGCAAAGCATCCAGCATTGTCATCCTGCATTGTCATCAGTCTTCTCCTCAGCCTTCACCTCCTGTTAGCTTCCTTCTTTCTGTTAATGGCCAGCACTATCTCTGTAGTTCTCCAGGCTGCCCGCTGCCTCCGGTACGTCACTGACGTCCTAAACCTTCTCCCTTTGGTGTCGTCATTGTCAGTCCCGTGTCTCTCTGTCTCCATCGGCTGTGTCTTTAGTGCAAATTTTATACCATTGCTAAGAGAGAGATGACAAGTTTGATTCTGGTCTTTTCACTCTCCTACTGAAAAGGCAAGGACTCTTCATTGGCTTCCTTTTCAGAAAATCAAAGCGGCACCTTCAGTAATGTGTTCATAATCCACTTCTCTTAGCTACCTCCTCTCACTCCCTTTAATGTACTCCTGACAAAATGAGCTACTTCCTGTCGCATTTGTAAGCCCTGTGGCTTTGTTCATGCTCTCATTTCTTAGTCCTAATGTCCTTTTCTTCTGCCAGTGCATTCATATCTTTCCGTTCATGGCCCAGATGCCACCTCCTTCACGGCCTCACTTCCTAGCTAGTCTGAAATGATTTCTCTAATCTTTGGAACTTCACAGCCATATCTCTACCTCTCTTGTGATGCCTGCTTTTCTCATTTGTGTCACAGCTATTCGTGTATAAGTTTTAATCCTAGTTTAAGTGTCTTGCTGCTGGAGCGCTTTCCCTTTTGTCTTTGTATCCCTTAGAGTGAGGCTCAGTGCCTCACACATGCAAGCATTCAGGAAATACATGTTACCGACGAGTGAAAATACCGTATGGTTTGGTTGTGTTATTATCAGTGTTCACGTTATGAAGTGTTCTATGTTCTGCATCTGCTGACTGAAGAAATGCACCAAAACCATGAAAATTTACTTTGCGTTTTTGATGGAGTGGTTACCGCAGTTGTCAGTCGTATGTGACCATGCATGTGCCTCGTGAGTAATAAGGCTCCGTTTCCTTTGTTCTCGGACAGGAGAATCAGATGAGAGGGAACAGTCAAAATTGGAAGTTAAAGTTTGGGACCCAAATAGCCCACTTACAGACCGACAGATTGACCAGTTTTTAGTTGTAGCACGGTGAGTATGGCACTGTTGAGTCAAAAACATCTTTTCTCTGTAAAAGATTTTGTACACATTTCATTTTCTTTGTAATCTACTTTTTTCATTGGTTGTATTTTTGTTTTTCTAGTTATATAAGAAGGCCTAATATCACTTAACATCTGCTAAATAATTCAAAATCCGGGTGACCTGTATGAGTCTCCAGGCCAGTGCTTCTGCTGGTGACTCAGTTCTACTCTCGATTCTTCACTATGGTCTGTTCCACTGACTGGCTCCTCCCCAATAGTATATGAGAGGGGACCTCTCACCCCGCAAACCAGAATTCATTTATAAAAATCGTGTACTTAATCTTACATGTTTAAACTTCAGTCACCTTCAAAGCACTCTCTATTTGATGCAATACACCTATGGAGACATTTTTCCCACTGCTCAAAATAATTTTTGAACTCGTCAACTTTGATGCCTTTTAGTGTTGTGCTGATTTTTGTTTTACCTCTTCCACATTGGCAAAATGTTTCCCTTTGAGGATATTTTTCATTGGGGGAAACAAAATACGGTCTCTTGGGGAGAAATCGGGTAAATAGAGGGGGGGATACCCTCCTATTTATGTCCCTACGACAGGGTCATGCTGTTTTAGGTCAAAAACTCTGGGCACTCAGCACAGTGTGGGCAGGTGTGCTCGTAAATCACCTGTCATGAAATGGGCAAACACATAGAGTCTTAAAAAGGAACTCATTGAGGCCGAATGCAGCTTCTCACAACAACGCTAGTTGGTATGTAGGTACAGAAGGGTTCCTAGGACACTCACTTAGCGGGGAAGCCTGTACTACAAGGGGCCACCCTCCAGAAGATAATTCCATTTTTTGGCTGGGGGGGGGGTCCTCCTCCTACAGTTTTAGGTTTGATTGTTATTGTTTTGTTTTTTGTTTTGTTTTTTGTTTTGTTTTTTTTAAATTTTAAAAAATATTTTATTTATTTATTTTTAGAGAGGGGAGGGGGAGAGAGACAGACAGACAGACAGAGAGAGAGACAGAGAGAGAAACATCAATGTGCGGTTGCTGGGGGTTATAGCCTGCAACCCAAGCATGTACCCTGGCTGGGAATTGAACCTGTGACACTTTGGTTCACAGCCCGCGTTCGATCCACTGAGCTACGCCAGCCAGGGCTGATTGTTATTGTTTTTTCCTTGATTACCAAGGGCCATATGTTTCCTTTTGTCTATAAGCCAGAATGAGAGGCACCAAAGAGATGCATCTAGTGTCTTTTTAAATTTCTTTAAAAGAAAGTCTTCTAAACATAAATTAAGACCACGGTCACATACCACTGCACATAGCATCAGAATTTGTAAAATGTGAAAACCCTCAGTGCCACACATTGGCAAAGAGGTGGAGCAGCCAGCACTCACGCCCCTCCCGAGGGACTCTGAGTTGGTATGGCTGCATTGGTAAACTGTTTGCAATCATCTGACATGCATATGTCTTCAGTTTCACTCCGCAATGTATACCTAGCAGAAGCGCCTACACAGATCAGCGCTCCAGACGACGCATGTGCAGATAGCATGGCTATCACCATCCATAGCAGCCCCAAACGGGAAACATATCCATCAGTGGTAGGGTGGCAGTGGGACACAGTGCAGAGGGTGCTCCAGGTCAGAGAGAACGAATGAACACAGCTATAGCTAGCAGCGTGTGGGCATCCACGGCAGCATTTTGAACAAAAGAAGATGGACACAAAAAGATTACATAGTATGTGATTCTATTTAAATTCCCAAATGAGCAAAATTAACCTATAGTGTTAGAATCCAGGATGGTGGTTCATTTGGAGGAAGAGGGAGGGAGTAGAGATTGGGAAGGAGCCCAAGGAGCCTTCTAGGGTGCTATCACCTTCACTTTCTTGACCTGGCTGTTGGTAACATGGATACACTTTAACTTTACCATCACTACATAGCTGTACAATGTGTACTTTTCTACACATGTGTTATATTTTAATCAAAATGTTAAAAAAAATCTCTTCCTGCCCTTGCGAGGTTGCTCAGTTGTTTAGAGTATTGTCCCTGTTATGCCAACATTACGGGTTTGACCGCCAATCAGGGCACATGTTAGAGCAACCAGTGGCCCTGGCTGATGTGGCTCAGTGGATTGAGCGCTGGCCTGTGAACCAAAAGGTCCCCAGCTGGGGGCTTATGAGAGGCAAAGATCAATGTGTCTCTCTCACATTGGTGTTTTCCTCCCTCTCTTCCCTTCTCTCTAAAGATAGAAAATCAATAAAATTTTTAAAAGCAACTAGTAATTGCATGAATAAGTGGAACAACAAATCAGTTTCCCCCCCCCCCCCCAAATCAGTAAATTTAAAATTATTAAAAAAAATCTCTGTCTTGGCTAACATGTTGAAAAAATAGATAAGTAGCAAGTCTTCATTTCATGCTTTACCTCTTGAATTAGGGTTCTTTACATATTGGAAGCTCTTTTATATCATTAAGTGATAATTAGTGTTGTAGTAATTTTTTAAAATGGAAATCTATTCTATATCGAGTCCTCATAGGAAGAGGTTGATTGTATTTCCAGGAAAAATGTTACTGGGATTTCACAGTTGGGCCAAAAAAAAGGGTCAGAACTTACTTTGCAGTAATACTCAAATGAGCTAATTTACTTTCAGTTTTTTTGTAGCACATTTGGATACTAAATTGTTTATTCTGTGGTGTTTCAAAATAGATCTTTTCCTCCTTTATGCCTCACAAACTACTTTTTGTCAATTTTAATGGTAAATTTTGGCTTATTAATTCTTAAATTTTTTAGAAAATACTTCTTATTTGATACTTGATTTTCAAACATCCAAGAACTTGTGTGACTTTTCTTTTACAATTTTTCATTCACTACCGCAATGTGTTTCTTCAGTAGAAAAACATAGCAGAGCCTTGATTTTTTTCCCCTCTGTTTTTGTGGTTTGCTCAGTGCTGTCGGGACGTTTGCCCGGGCCCTGGACTGCAGCAGTTCTGTGAGGCAGCCTAGTTTGCACATGAGCGCAGCTGCGGCTTCTCGAGACATCACGCTGGTAAGATGCTTTCTGAAATTTCAGGGCTCTTTCCTCTGCTCCTTGTTCAATTTTAAAGCCAAAGTAGCAGTGCTGTAGACACGAGAGCTTTCTGGCTCCCAGCCCCGCTGACTGCTGGGCAGAATTAGCTTGGCTGGTGGGTAAAGGGGCGTGTCTCATTCCTAAGGCACCTCGCGCGTGAGCTGAGACAAGTAAGAATGACTGTTCATGGAGTGGGTACAAAATGGTAAAAATATTTTTGGGAACACGGTTCAACATTCTGACCCATTTGTTTTCCCTTTGGTATTTTTTCCACGTATTCCATCTAAGTACCTGAATAGTTGTAGATCATGTATAATGCTTTATAGTTTTTTTAAGTGAAAGTGACCATGTCTTAAAGCTGTTGCCGTCGGAATTATTTTGTTGTCATGACCATTGCTTAGTATTGATATTAAGTTCTTGTATCTTTTTATTAGAAAGAGGTTCTGTTTTCTTACATCATTTTGTTACATCGTGGTTGCCATCTTCTAAGACTGTTTCTCTTTTCCCTTGGTAATTAAATGAAGCTTCCTATATCCAGTTTAATTTGCACCACTAATGCCTGCCATGGCTGGGCATTGAGCTTGGCACTTGGCTTCTCTCTGCCTCCAGCAAAGTAGCTCTGCAGGTGTTTCACTGATTGACGTTAATTACCATATGTGATTACCATAACCCTTCAGATAGGCATGGCATGCTCATTTTATAGGTGGGAAAACTGACGTATGGTGAGGTTAAGCTCTTTGACCAATATTCATTACCTGTAGTAAAAGTTTCAATTTTATTTTCTGATGGAATGGAATGCAATGGTAGCTTTTATTACTTTCTCATTATATTTTAATTTGAAATGCTTTCCACAAATATTTATCATAATAATGAAAAAAATTCATGCTGGGACGCATACCAAATTTGTTTCTTACAGTGCTTTCTTATATTTTTGTACAATTATAATGAATGATGAAAGCATTTGTAATCCATTGCCATTATGGAATTCCTTTATCCTTTCTCAAAGACTAGAATGTTTATAGAAGCAAGTTTTGTTCTCTTCACGTGTACACGAACATTTTATATAAAAGTTCAGGAGTTTCAAAGTAGGTTGTGATTGGGTTGTGTAGAACTTGCAGAGCACTCCACCGGAGAAGTGAGCATGTGGATGTCGCCCTTGCAAAAACTTAAAAAATCCTACCAGCAGATATTTATGTGAATCAGAACTACATGGATCTTACCACTACTTTGTATATGTTTTTCTGTTCAAAAAGATCCCCCTACTTCTGAAATTGATGGAGGCTTATTACAAAAAATGGAAAAATACAGTACAGCAGCAGCCAAAAATAGTTTTGTTTTCAGCACCCAGAGTACAATGTATTCTTTACCATTTTATGTTTGTTTAGCTACTTTTTTGCATCAGGAACAATAATAATAAATTACAGAATAGCACAGAGGATAATATAATAAAATTCCACATAATGCCACCTGAAGTAAGTGTTCACAGTTGAGCAAGTGTGAATAGTATTCTTCCCCAGTTCTTTCCCCCCTTCTGTCTGTCCTCTGACCCCCCATTGCCCCTGCCTCCAGTCCAGAGGCAGCCACTGTAACAATCTGCTATGTAGTCAGTCTATTTTATGGTTTTACTGTTACTTATATACCTTACAATAACATAAATATGTGTTTTGTATGTGTTTATATTACCTCTGTAAAATTTTGCCATTTTCTGTTGTGATCTAGCTATGCTAGTAAATACATACGTAGTTAACGCATTTTAACTACTTTGTAGTATTCATAGTATTCTTTAAAAGAATACTACACCACATTATTTATGTATTCTCTTACCATGAACATCTGGAGTGCTTTAAAAACATTTTTCTTTTGCTGTTACCCATAATGCTGCACTGAAAAATACAACACATTTCCCTTTGTGAGCATGTGTGTGAGCTTTCTGGACAATAACTACGGTTGAAATAGTAATACACAGTGATTCATAGGTCAGTGTTGTTTTGAATTTGACCACATGCAGCCAGATAATTCTGCACATTGTCAGCGACGTTTATAATATCACATCAGTTGAGTGTTCTTTCTTCATCTGTTTCTTTGCATTGTCTTCAACACTTGGTATTTTCACACTTAAGTTTTACTGCCTTGATGCTATCTCATTTTAATTGTGTTTACCTGATTACTTTGTGGGATTAAACATGTTTTCATATTTTTTCTCCTTTCTATATTGGATTCATACCCCTTGGCTAATGTTTAATATTCACTCACAATATTGTTCTATTTTTTCTAATAAAGTTTTAGTTACATTTAAGACTGTAAACCTATCTGGAGCTTATTTTTAAGAATGGAGTGAAGTAGGGATTGAATTAATTTTGTTTTCTCATGTGGAAACTTAATCATCACATCACCTTTTATTGCATTTCTTCTTTCCTTGTGATTTTGTAATGCCCCTTCTGTCTTATTTAAGGGTTTTAGTTATGGTTAGGCCTGCTTTGGATGTCTGGTCTCTTCTCCCTTTTGTTGATCTGTTTGTCCCTGTTTAAGCGCCACATTACAGTAAATGAGGTAGCTGGTGAGACAAGCCCCACGTGAACTTCCTTTTAACACAGGGTCTAAGTCGTGTGGAACAGCGTTTCGAACTCCCCCCACCATGTTTTCCCTAGCACTTTAACACACTCTTTCATCTCTTAGGAGAACCTGGAAAAACTTTTTTCAAATATTGAATGATCTTGCCTTGTATAGATGATATTGTTACTTACGTAGCCCAGTCTCTTGTGATTTAACATTGTTTTTGTGAGATAATGCTTCTTAGATTATGATTGGGGATGCTATCTCTGTAATAGTTCAGCAGATTCCCTCTATTTTGTCTGAGGAGTAAGGGTAGAAAGCTTGTTTGTGAGATGACACAGAGCTCTTAGGACGCACTTCAGACGGACTTGCCTGAAGCCTTGACAGGTGAGGAGCCCTATTGGGCTCTTGGTTCACAGCTGCAGCAACTCTCTGCTTCCCACTGCTGGTAACTGGTGGGATAGCAGATGAATTTCTGGTGGAAGACCACTGAGTTTTCAAGATTTGATGTGTTTTTCTGTCAGTGAGGAAGACCATTTATAAAAGAAGCATTTTAAATAAGACAGCTGCCCTGGTCAGTGTGGCTCAGTTCATTGGAGCATTGTCCCATAAACTGAAAGATCGTGGGTTTGATTCCTGGTCAGGGCACATATTGTACTTTGCAGTGTGTAATGTGCTCCCATGTATAATGCGCACCCATGGTTTTGCTCCAAACAGTCAGGAAAAAAAAATACTTTGTTTCGATTTTTAAATTCAACTATTTACTTATTTATTTTTTAAGAAACAAAACTGATTATCTTATTCCAGGGTATTATTTTATATATGGATATCATTACTGCTTTCTAGAATTACACTTTTAACGCATAAGCATAAATAAAAGAATTAAAGACATACAGTACTGAGTTAGTGCTACCCATGTATAATATGCATCCATATTTTTCCCTCAAAAATTTGGACAAAAAAAGTGCACATTATACACGGCAAATTATGGTACCTGGGTTGCAGATTTAGTCTCTGTCCGGTTGAGGTGTGTACAAGAGGCAACCAGTCTATGTCTCTCTCTCTCACATGGATGTTTCTCTCCCTCTCTCCCTTCCCCTATTGATCAAAATCAATAAATATGTCCTTGAATGAGGATAAAAAAAGTAAGTAAATAAAAATAAAGAAGGCACAGGCTATATACCTTAATTAGTTTAAATATCATTTTATGTATATCTTTTACAATACTGGGCTATTAAGCTCCTTCTAAGTATGTACTTTCAGATCCTCCACTGTTTTCATCTCTTCTGTTTGTTTTCTTTTGTATTTAGCAATTTGGAGGTCACTTTTACATTATATCGAGTGTTAAATTATTTTTTACTATAATTGTTTTTTAAGCAGCACTATACTCATGGGGCTCAGGAAATTCTGCTTTGGCATGTTTGTACGACTGGTTTCAGAGACAGGGTTTGGATCGGTTCTTGACTTCTACTTAGGAGTTCCCTCTGCTCTACCAGATTACCTCTTCTACTTCATTCTCACTAAAATGGCTTGAGTTTAAATATTATTGTTGTTGTCTATCTTGAATTAGGCAGCACTGAAGAATGTCTTTTCTTTTTTCTGCAACTCTTTAAACAAAGATTTTATTTATTTATTTTTAGAGAGAGGAAAGGAGGAAGAGAAACATCCAAATGTGGTTGCCTCTGGAGCACCCCCTACTGGGGAGCCTGGCCTGTATCCCAGGCATGTGCCCTGATGGGTAATCAAACCAGTGACCCTTTGTTTTGTAGGCCAGTGCTCAATCCACTGAACTGTACCAACCAGGGCTTTTTTCTGCAACATTTAAATGCCTTGATTTCCTGCTTTCTCTACTCTAGGTTCAACTTTACTTGGACTCTATGTATGTTTTTTTTATTATGTTTTCAGCACCATACAGTTGACATCTTTTAGAAGTTGACAAAGCAGAAAGAAATTGATTCCTTATCGCAGATGCTGGCTCAGTGGTATTAGACTTTCCCACTTTGATGTTAAAATATAAGATCCTAAGGCCTTTCTATAATAATGAGTGGGAGTAGTTAAAAATTGATTATTAATATTAATATGAGTTTTCAGATTTTTTCCCCTAAAAGAACATGTGAAAGGCTAAGTTGTTTTGTGTTATTAAATGAAAATTGATTTTTTTATTTAGCTGAATTTGGAGAGTCCCATTTTTATTTTTCTTTCAGTGTTTGCAGGCTTGTAACAGATCAGGTTAGTATCCCTTTCTGTATCAGGTGACCAGAAGACCTTCCACTGCAGAGAAGGTGGGGTTGGTAAACCTCAAGAACCTTGGTAGCTCGTCTAGGTGGTTTTCTTGTGCTTTTTTTCTGTGAGGGCTGCAACTGGGCTTTCAGCACTCCTAACCCGACACATCCATTTATCCAAGACTGTCCATGTACACTACTTGT